GCGTAATGGGAGTCTTTTATTGTGAAAAGTGTGAGCTAATAAGATGTGCAGAGCTGCCAACATGCTGGTGTGTCATCGGATGCCTCATAGGACAGACGGTGAATGCATGAGGATAAATTAACAATTTATCACCATTATGCAACAGACTTTTGCAGAGGTGTTTCCAAGCAAACACAGAAAACACTTACTGTATACTGGAATAAAAAGACAATCATGTTTAACAAGACGGTCCTACAATTGACCTATTATGGCACCTACTCATGATATAATGTAACTATTATGACTACCTATTATTAAATGATGTTCGATTTGGGTCCTCTACCTGAATTTCTTTATTGTTTCCTGTCTTAGATTTATACTAACATGATTTGAAAGTTTTCTTTGTAAACCTATAAATCATATTACCATAAATAAATAACTGAAATAAATAACTTGGAATATTGTACTCCGCCAAGACTTCTTCTGCTCTACTTTACTCGAGTAAAAGTATTGATAGTATTGAAGTTTAATCTATAACATGAATAATATTAATAATATCATAATGGATTAGTTAGTTTACATTTGGTATGAATAACCTCAATCTGCAAAGTAATTATTACAGTCAATTCAATGTAGCGAATTACAATATTTGCCTGTAGTGAGGTAAAAGTATAAGGTAGCATAATGTGCAAATACTTAATTGAAGAACCAATAATTGTACTTTATGACATTACACCACTTGAAAATACTCAATTGTTGTATAAGTAAAACAAGTATTGGCATAAAAAGTAGCAAAAGTAAAAGTACTCATAATGCAAAATGTCATTATTGAATTGTCATTATTGATATATTGATATGATCAGTTTGTTGTAGCTGCTAGGTATATGTATTATAACAGCTTGTCAATTGCATACATGGATTAAAAAAGTATTATCGTTATAAAAACAATATAAATATACAGAATTTAAATTAAGTTAATCTGAATCTGCATTAGCTAATGCTGACAGTCATGATCAATGCTAAACAAAAGAAAAGCACAATATTTAAGCCTGAAATGTAGGCAAGTATAAAGTAGTAGAAAATGCAAATAAGTTACATAAATACAGTAGTTAAGTAAACATACTTCTATTCCACCACTGAGAATGGATACACATTCATGTTTCTGGATGTTTTTTTTCTTAATCGACAAAAAGTGCTCACCTTGTCCAGGCAGCTGACTTTCTCCGTCGGGTAGACGATCTTCCCGCAGCGGGCACACTGGGGGTTCATCCTCCACACCTCCTCTGTGCTCCAAAAAGGATAAATTCCACTGAATATAACAGAGATGTAGTTAATGTTGTCCAGAAAAATAGCCCCAACTGTCCGCACGGAGCCACTCTTCAAGCTGCGTCACAGTAAACCAAGCGGAACAAACTGGAAAATGTACCCGGGAAACGGCGGCTGTGCTCCGTCACTCTGCGCCTCAGAGTCCGGTGTGAAGGCTGGATGCTGCGCTGGGACTGAGCGAGTACATCGGCAACAAGCAAGCGGAAGTTAGCGCGGAGAAAACAGGAAGTGGGTTCAAGTTCCCTTCAAAATTAAAGTAAAATTAACTAAATACAAAAACAACAATAATAATTAATACAACAAGAGCTGCATTATTAGCTTGATGAAATATCAAATAGTTGATCAACAATCACATTGCTCAAATAATGTATTCATTTATGTATTTGTTCGCTTCCAGTTTTAATAGTAATGAAATGAAATAAATAAAATAAATAATAATAATAATAGAGCTTTAATTATTTGATAAATCAAATAGGTGATTGACAGAAATAATCCACAATTTTTTTATAATCTGTAAACCATTAACAATAAATTAAGCATTATTTTCAAACATTGAAGTTCCAGATTCATTGATTATTTGATTGATCAAATAGTTGACAACATGTTTTACTGTGTAGATGATTACATAATCTATTAATAGCTGAAGTTGTATTAAAGATTACATTGACACCTGAAGGGTCAATAAAAGAAACTAACTTTAAAATGTAATTTAAATATAAAGAATATGCCTTTTTTAAATATCAAATTTCTTTTTTCACATTATTTAACTGAAAGATTAATAACCACACTGGTTTCTACCAACTATGAAAAGGTGTTATCGCAACAAAAAAAGTGTCTAGCTATATTTATGTAGTTAGCAAACTTCATTAATTTCTCATAAAAAATGCTCTAGCATTTTAGTTTATAAGGGTTAACCGCTTGATAAACATTTTAGCATCAATCACAGATTAGCTTCTAACCTTTAGCCGCTAAAAGATGTGGCATTAAACAAGGATTATTTAATTTAGCCGACTGAAACCATTAGCCTAGCGACAACTAAAAACATTCTATTTATTTTCCTGTTATGCAGCGGAGGGTCGAACCTTTCCTTTTAATATTTTCTAGAATCCTATGTTGTATTCCACGAAGTGAAAACAGAGATTAAATCCAAGTTTTGTACCTTCCACTGCCGCTACTCAGACCTTTTCTCCAGAGCAACACTAACGTTAGCCTGGCAGGCCGGGGGTAAGACCCTCATAGAAAGTTGACAACTTTGGGGACACGAAATAGCCTTTTAAAACTTTGTTAAACAATTTCAAATAGATTTAAAAACATTTCTGATGCTTGTAAATCGGTTATATGACGTGTGATTTACCGCTAAAGTTAGAGCAGGGCAGGATGTGAGGCCCTATTAGATGTAGTTTACAGTGGCTAAATGTGCTAGCACTGCCTTGAATTCAATTCAATTTGTTATCAGGGTACAGCCTTAATCTTTATGTAAACTCCAACATTAAAACAAATACCAACTTGATGGCCTCACCTGGCCAATAGTAAACCTGTTAATTATCAATATGTTTTATTGCAAATTAGTATTTTTCTTAAAACAACATATCTGACAGTTAAAGATAACAACCGGATAGCTAATAAAAAGAGCAGGACATTTGACACAACCAAAATAGACTTGTCTTCATTGCCTTTCTTTAATCAAACTGACCAACATTCATTACTAATACCAATGTATCTGTGATGAACATTAAAGCTTGCTCTCTCACACTCACAATGGACATCAGGCAGAGCAGTTATCACATCAAATATATTCTTTATACTCCAAGAGTAGTTCAACACTAGTTTGTGATATCTCTACTCCTCCTGCCTCACTTTTAGATTTTTTTCAAAATAATATTTTAGTTTTCTTTGTTATAGCCCCTCTTACTGGGATTCTGTGTAAGTGAAATATTTTTTAAACAGCACCCTCCCTTCATGTTTCACTGGGAGTCGTGGACTTTACCTCCATTATTTAGCAAATGACCCCCCCTGCTGGCGTATGACGGGACAACATCTATTAAAGAGGTTTTGAGACAAATGTAATATATTGTAAAGGTAAAATAAAATAAGGCTTTATTGATCCCCCTTTAAAGAGATTAAGTGCCTTTAAAATATTTAATTAAAACCAAGCTTAACAGTTTTGTTCTGCAAAGGTTGACTGTAAAATCATAGTGTTACTGACACTATTGACAAAGTGAAAAAGCAGGCTACTTTAGAGCAGAAATGTTACCTATTGCATCCTTGTTGTTTGTTTAATTTGTGGGTTTTTTAAATGAGTTCTAAAGATGTAAACATCGAATAAGATTAAAGGTAGAATCAAAACATATGGAGGGTGATCAGTTAAGAATAAAAGGCCCAAGCGTCATAAGAAGTTAATCAGAAAAAATAATCACTCAGATACATTTGGAAGAACAAAGTCCTCTCATATCCTCTGGGTTTGAATATATTTGAACAGCAAGAATATCAATTAATGTTGACGGTAAAAACTTCATGTTTTACATATACTTGGTCAAAGATTTCTAAAAATGTTATACAGTAAACACTGTCTTTTGTGGCAGTTACAGGATGACCTGCATGCATCAGCTGTTCGTTTAGTTTAAGATCAACCCAAGATGTTCACAGAGGAAGGGGTCAGCCCCACAGAGAAACTCAATCATCTCTGAACTAGCAGCTGCACCTTTTTTCCTCACTGTGTCGATGAGAAAACGAGCTTTGTCTCTTCTGTTTTGCTTCTCTTCAGCTGTCTCCCTCTCAGAATCAGTCAGTACCCTTTTCTCAAACAGTTTGTCCAGCAGACTTTCTATAACAGGTTTTGATACCTTATCAATGAAGCTTCTCCGTCTGTCCAGCAGCCTCTCATGTGGACAGAGATTCAGAGAGCTCTGCTCACAGGACCTTTTCACTCCAGAGGAGGAGAGACACACTCGTCTGTCCCAGACAGTGTGAATCAATCATGTTTCTCAAGAACAGCTCAATATTTTTCATCCCTGTTTCCAAAGTCACCTGGAATGATGGGTGGTAGTTGTCATAGTCGTCACAGTAAAACTCTGCCTCTGGTGGTTGAGCTCGAACTGAGTCGTAAACAAACGTAAAAAAATAAAATATCAAATAAAATAGAAACATAAGTTAACACATAAATGTGCAATAAAATACAATGAAAATAATCATTTAAACATATCAACTTGCGTAGAACTTGGCGTGATGTTAATTGTGCATGTGTAATATCTAATTCAGAGGTCTATGTGTTGTGTTTAAATAGCTTAATGGCTTTTATTTACTAAATGCTATACAAACAAATCATGCTTTTGATTAAAAAAAAAGAAGTTTTATCATAGATATCGATTTATTTAATAATGACTTTCACAATGATACATCTGTTTGATTTAGATTTATGAACAGTTCTACTTCTTGTTTCACATTCTATGACCTTTGAAACCGCTGCAAATGAATTACACTCTAAGATAACGTGTGTAATATGGACGGAAATGCCCTATATACAAAACCTACAGCATTAGGCTGCCGGTTTCTGTTGGTCTTTTATAGGATCGAAATAGAAAAATAACTGTAACTTCGATAAAATATGAGGTGAAATGTATGTTATGAAAACCAAGAACCAAAACCCCCCAAAAAGGAACTGACTCACCCAACAACTGACATTTGATTTCTTTATAGGTCGTATTCCTTCGTTTGCATCACGCTGGTAAGTCTGAGATAAACTGATCATCATATTTAACAGCATAAATACCTCAAACTTCTTATTAGACATGTATTTGGGAGAAAATAAGATTATTTGAAGTGCATTTATCTAGGGAATATTATTCACAATACTTAAGGTAAGGCTCGGTGGGCAGGAAAACCCTGTGTTGTGTTAATATATATTGTTTATAATCTTTTATGAAATGATACTGTTCAATGGTGGTGGAAGTAACTCAGTACATTAAGAACTCTACTTACATTCTTATGGTACTTGGAGTTTACTCGGGTATTTCTTCAAATCTTTGCATATTCAGAGTAACATTTTGAATACATGACTTTTGTACAGGAATACTTTATTTAATATATATTCTTATTTTTATTATCGTTTTCTTACTGGTTGATTTTGAACCCCATCAGGCTAGGCGTTAGTTCCTTTTTTTGGAAAGTAACATTGTGTAATACGTTTTCAAGCTTCCTCATCTTTTTGTCTTGAACTGACTCTCAGGCTGTTTCAATTGGACTTTATATAATTCGGATCTGATGTATGTTTTTTTTTATACAGTCTTTTGTGTATTGTTATTGGAGAAGGTGAATAAATGATGTGCTGAAAAGTAAAGGTTGAAAGAAACACTTGCGACATCCTGTTATGAGAAGAGAAGTCAGTCTTCCTGATTTATGAAACCAACTTCATTTCAAACTTTAAATCACAACTTACACACCCAGTATTTTAAAACGTTTCATCTGATTTTAATTTCGAACAAAATACTATATAATGTTAAACTATGATATTATTTGGGGTTAAAAAGTCTGTATAGATTCTATGTCTGTTAAATAACTTAACTTTTGTAATTTAATTTCAGGATACAGAGCCGGACATGTGCAAAATAAAGGAGGATTATAACATGTATGTTTAAGAGGCATCAAAAAGATATGTGAGGTTCAGTTGGGGCTAAAAAACTGAATCAAATCTGGAAAGAAGACACAGGAGGAAGGTTGATCATACAGCTGCACCAACTCTGAGAGAGACTCTTGTGAATAAAGCAACATGTCATCAGCTCCAGAAAACATCAGAGCTGAAAGAGAAGGATCATTCTTCAGCAGAGTAGCCAGAAGCATCAGGAGAGCTCTGTCCAGAATCTGCAGAAATAGTTCCAGCTCTTCCTCGGACAGTGTTCCAATTCCAAATCGTCGTTATTCTCAGGAAGATTGTTATAGTCCTATAATCTGCGGTGGCTCCAGAAACCGAGATGTTTATTATACGTCATTGATAGGTCAAAAACGCAAGAACTCAAATGAGTACCCTCAAATAAGCAAAAGACGAGATGCACTTAATTTGACTGTGCATCCTGAAAGTGAGCCAGAAGTGAGTGATGTCTTAAGGAATTCATCTGTTACTGATTCTCTTTCTGACTGGTATGATGATTGTAATTTTGCAGAGGCAATGATTGTGTCTCTCCCCATGCCCTCAAGGCCAGACTTTAGGTTCAAACACACCTCCTGTGAGTCCATAGCCCAACCTGAAGATGCACAAGGCATTCCCACAGTCCTCCATGACACAAATATCTGCACAGAAGGAAGTGGAACACAATATGGACTTCATTTTCCCGTTCAGTCTAACAGTGAGCGGTCAGCACACCGTGTCGCTCAGGTGGAGGCCCCTATCATAGCTGTAAGGTGCTTAGTCACAAACACCGTACGCCCCCCAGATCGATCTAGGAGCAGCAGAGTGTCCAGCTGCCTCTCTCGCTCTCACAGCATGTCTTCACAGAGTCAAATAGCATCAGCAAAGCCCTTAACCCGATCTCAAAGCTTGCCTGCTCTGTTGCTAAAAAGCAGCTACGAGGAGTTTACACCTGAGATCACTGCTGATGAAGAGGAGGAGACCTACAGGTTCCAGAGCTCCTGCCCCGGCCTGTACCAGTGCAGGCTGACCGGCCTGGTGTTTCACATGGAGGGAGAGGGGGAGCTGCTTTACAGGATCGTCCCTTGGAACAGGAGGCTTCTGGCCCAGCATCACAAGAAGCCTGCAGGACCCCTGTTTGACATCAAATGTGTGCAACAGTCAGTGTGTCAGCTGCACCTCCCTCACTGTGAGATCCGCTCCACAGGAGCCTGTCGCTTCTTGTCCGTTGCTCATGTGAAAGATGAGAGCATTGAGTTGATCCGCCCTCACATGGTAACAGAAACTCATGTTATTATAAACATCACAGGGTTTTCTGGTTTAGGGAACGTTAAGGATGAAAACTCTCCACCTGACCCGGTCCGAGCGCAGGTTCTGCTGTTCTACAGGCCCCCAGCTGATCCTGATCCCACATCCATCTTAAATGTACTGCTGCTACCCAGTAACGTCTTGATCAAGGATGTGAAGCGCAAAAGGAAGAAGATAGTTGGAGAAGAGACCTACATAGAAACCCCCCCCCACTGTAAACTGCGCCCACAGCAGGAGTACACTCTGTCCACTCGTCCAGAGGACGACTCAGTTCGAGTTCAACCACCAGAGGCAGAGTTTTACTGCGACGAGTATGACAACTACCACCCATCATTCCAGGTGACTTTGGAAACAAGGATGAAACATATTGAGCTGGATCTGAGAAATTCCAACGCCTCCCTCAGTGTCTGGGAAAGACGAGTGTGTCTCTCCTCTGGAGTGAAAAGGTCCTGTGAGCAGAGCTCTCTGGAACGTTCTGCTCATAAGAGGCTACGGGACATATGGAGCGACTTCATCGAGAGGACATCAAAACCTCTCCTCAAAAGTCTTGTGGACAAACTGTTTGAGAAAAAGGTGCTGACTGATTCTGAGAGGGAGAGCGCGGAAGAGAAGCAAAACAGAAGCGACAAAGCTGGTTTTGTGATTGACACAGTGATGAAGAAAGGAGACAAAGCTAGTTCAGAGATGATTACGTTTCTTTGTGACGCTGACCCCTATCTCTGCGAACAGCTTGGGTTGATCTGAAGCTGAGAGGTGGTGATGAAGAGTTGTGTGGAGTCTGATAATAACGATTGAAAGAGAATGCTTTTAGATGCAGAAATAAAAGAGAAGAAAGAGGAGAGATTGATAGGTGGGGAGGTCACCCAGGGAGAACCTGCCAAAATTGGGATGCGCACAATTCAGAAAAGACCGGTTGGAGAGGAGTGTTTGCGGCAGAGTTGGGAGCATAGTGCCACAAGTGGGACATATTTAGGAGAGGGGAGGGGGGGGGGTGTGCTGAGAGACCAGATCAATCAGCAGAAGTAGTAGTCAGATGATAGCTCTTTCTGGATGGTAATGTCACAGAAGCTCCAGCAACGGGTCGGTTCTAGGGATGTTAGAAAGGAGGACGACACGTGACGGAAACAGAGAGTACACATATCTGAATGAGGAAAAGAAAGCACAAATAAACTTAACTCAGTCAACGTTTGATTCACCTGCACTCAGCCTACAGTCACACTCCTACAAGACTCCGAAGCGTTCACCTGCCATGTTAAAAAAGCCGTTTTTTAAAGGACTCCTGGCTTGATGACTCAGTTGGTGACAGCTGTGACGGATACTCCTCCCAGCTTGCAATTTGCCCTCACCGGAAACCAGTGCCTTTCCACAGGTTAAATGAGTGCTTAACAGCGACTGGATATAAAACAATAGCATACAAATGTTTTAACCCAGTTATTTTTAACAAACAGATTACAACATTGTAAAACTTGACTATGGCTGTTTATATTAATTTCATTGAATAATGTTTTCACTATACTGTGATTTGCTTAAAAAATAAAGAAAATAATAAAAATACTAAGCATGTTATTGATATACTATGACTTATTTCCTCAATTATAAATACAAAATTATATTTTCATGACATAGTATACTAGAACTTTTTCCAGAGCAGTTTCTACTCAGTCCTGTTAAAAGAGGTTGTTAGTGTAAATTCAAAAACAGACACAAAACAAACATTTATAATATTTTAATCTGCATCACTTTGAACAACAAAATCCCTGTAAACATTACAAATTCAGCACCTGTGTCATCGGAGGAAAAAAGTGGTCCTGGTTTGACAATAAGAAGAAAAGAGAAAAGTTAACCCAGGCTAATGGTGTTAAATAACCTGCAGATTTGACCATAACGAGGGCTGGATAACACTTGTTTTGACCATTTTAAGAATATTATGGAGGCATTTAACCAGCCTTTGGCCAACATTAACACTTTCAGACACATGTAGAAACGTTGTGTGTTCAGTCTCACACAAACCAGCCACTTTTAAACATGTACAACATGTTTAAAAGTGGCTGGTTTGTAATAAAACTGATTCCTCTGGTTGAAAGCAGCTGCTGTGGGTTTTGTTTTGGGATAATCTTAGTTAATATGGTCTTTAAATGCTCTCACAGCCCAATTAAATGCATCCACTTTGTGAGGAAAGTAGTAACACTGGGATCACCAGGAAATGGTTTGTGATGTTATAAAAAAAAGACTTAAGGGTTCCTGAACATTTCCATTTGAAATATTCACACTTTCGGGTCACATGGTTGTAGTCAGAACATCGTATTCACAATTTTAACGCACAATAATGTGAAAAAAAATGTGTGGAAAATCTCCACCTGGAACAATCCCCGGATTTGACTGTTTGGAAGCCAAAGAGCACCAGGTTTCAGAGCCCTGATAGTCACCTACAGACACGAGAGCACCACGAGACGTCCCTCTGTCTGTCTCCTTAAAGATTGTTATGAACTACAGGTGTAAAGTAGGAAAGAGAGGAAGAGGAGGCTGGTTTCGCTTCACGTGGGCCAGACGCCGGGCAGTCTGGTTCTCTTTTAAGCACCAGTATTCACATCAGAAAAAAGACAGTCAAAGTGTGATTGTTTGCACGTTGGTAAAAAGGCTTATTTTACAAGAGAAAATATATTTATAGTGATTGGACATCACATGGAGGCATTACAGTCAGAGGTCCGGTTTTCTCTTCATCATGCAGAAAGTAACTCATCAGACTGGCTGATTGATATGACTGTAGACTGGTGAGTTTAGGACTCAAGGCACAGCGCAGGGTCAAACATCTACAAACACTTTAAACAAGTGAGAAGTTTCCCGTCACTGTGCTCTACTCGAAACTCAAGATCTCATCATTATTGTGTTTGTTAGAAGAAATAATTAACAGAAAATTAACTGGCATCAACTTTACTAATGATTACTAGCCTTTAGTTGTTTGCTTAAATACAAAATCTTACCGACCTTATTAAATGTGGAGATTTACCGTCTTACATTATTAGAAATGTAACTTATTTTAGTTTTGGTCCATTGGTTGCTTGCAGATACTAACAGATCTTAAAAACAAAGAATAATATTAAGCCATGATGACAATTATTTATTTTGCTGCCAGGAAACACTGCTTTTTAGCGGGATGACAACCTCAATGTTCAGTACGCTGCTGAATGTATAAAAAGCCGTCAGGAATGTTTCATTCTACATGTTCTACAGACAGATCTAGCTCACGACTGTGAAGTCTGTGGACTGAAAACAACCTGAATCGAACCAAACGAGGAGCAGAGATGTAGAAAACAAACTGGACCGAGTTCTTGAGTAGAGCACGGTGCTGCTGGGAAACTTCAATAATGAGAGATGACATAAACAATGAATAAAAACCTTCATCAGTATTCGTGTGTTTTGGTTGAGTTTGAAAGAAAGAAAGAAAGAAAAAAGCAGCGCGGCTCAGAGGAGAGCAGCACATGCACACGACATGAAGCTTAAAGTACAGACAGAAAGGTTCAAAGTGTTTCTCTGGTGGGTTGAGTTTCGTGGTCAAGTAGTATTGGTTTTGTGTTTTCACGTTAGCACCTGAATGTAGCATCACAAAGCAGAGTCGGTAACAGAAACCTGGAGCCCACTTTCAAGCTGTTGAAAATCAACCCACCCTCAGAAAGATATCTGAGACAAGGTCACATTGGCTGGTGTTTAACAGAAACATCGAATGATCAAACTGGAGGCATTTCAATTATAAAAGATGCCGCTAAAACTAATTTAAGAATTAGTGCTGGATATATACTTTCGTATATATCCAGCACTTATTCTCCATCAGCTTTTTATCCAGTTTTTGCATCAGCCGTTTCAAATATTAAAAACCAAACAAAGAAATCAGTAGAAGATATACTCTTCATCACGTCTCATACCAAACTGTTCTTACTAAATATAAACACAAGTCAACAATTGTCCACTAACTAAACCTAGGGCTGCAAAAAGTACATGTTTCCATTATTGATAAATGTTTGAAATGTAATATTTTGTCCAACCAACTGTCAAAGCTCCTGTATATTCAGTTAATATACAACGGAGAGCCAGTCAATGTTTGGCATGACTTTGATACAGCCAGGCGGACGCTCTGAAGTACGTCGGCATCGAGTGATTTAGATGTTATCACAATGAAAACATGTCTGTGCAGCCCTAGAAATCTGTATTGATCTGGTGAGACTTAGCAAAGGCCTCCTGATTTACAGACAGTGATCCGGTAGTTCATACCGTATAAAAACACTGAAACTAAAATCGCAAAACGAGTCCAGGCCATGGAGTGAAAGCGGCTGGTGGATGTTTTTGGTCCCTGAAGCTAAAACTAATGAACCCGTTTCAAACAGGCGGGATAGGGTTTCGCACTGTAGAACATTTACAGTTCAGATTACAAAAAACGACAAAATGAGTCAGTTCGTAGACGAGCTTCAGCTCAGGGAAGATTCATAAAGCCGGTCTCCACAGAAGAGGAAGATTTGTTGAAAAATCACAAGAAGCAAAAAATATATGAAAAGCCTTTTTTGTGGCAAAAAAGACTGCATAAAAATTCTGCTTCAAATATTCCCAGTTTGCCTGAAGCTCTCTAGCATTTTGCATGTCGTCCTGGTTTCCTGAATGGAAGGGGTGTTGTGTTTGAGTGTAAGGCCTTTGTGTTGGCGATCCTCGGGAGGTAGAGCTTCCGTTAGGCCATCTCTAGCTCCCGCTCGATTCCGACGTACTTCAGAGCGTCCGCCTGGCTGTACCTGCCACACAGACACACACACAAAACGTTAGATCAGGACGTCTGAGCGGGTCTGTTCACTCAGATTATCAGGAGCAACGGGGTAGCTCTGACCCAACAGTTGCTCAGGTTTGAAAACTTTTTTTATTGAAATCATTGGAAATAAAGTGGTGCAGGAAGGGTCCGCTTAAAAAGAGATATTTGAGTTTCAATATTTGTATTCTTTGGACAAAATGTGGTAGGATACAAGCAGAGGCTAACATCTCTAAACAAGATTTCATCAGCAACTCATTTGATATTAGTTTCTGTCGTTTCTCAAATGAGATATTTGCAACATCACCTACATTAGAATTATTTTTCTGGCTTCCTTTTAATTTATTTAAAAACTGGATATCTTTAGACAAAACACGATTTTTTTATGACAAACTTTGTCGCTGTCTCTTTTTGGTATTTCATTGAGGAAATTATTAATTGAGATTATTTAGCAGATCTTAAATTGTATCCGTACATTCATGCTATAAAATATGTTATTGATATGGCCTGTGTTTAATTAACACTGACTCAGAAGGGGCTAGACACTGAAATATTATTAGGAGCTTTTAATAATCTTAATAAAAAAGACAATCAGACTAGGTGTTACTGACCTGTAGTCAAAGAAAAGTTCCTCTCCAGTCTGGATGGCTCTCTTAGCAAAGATTCCAATCCTGTGATCCCCGTTCACCATCATCACTGCAGAGGACACACACACGTTAGCGCAGCTCCACCTGAGTTTATAATGCATGCTTTCATTTGTAGTGGCAGCTCTTCTCACCTTTTGCATAGCAGTTGGGGTTGACAGAATGGTTGGCAAAGCGTATCTTGTTGCCTTTCCTTGTGGCATCAACAACAAAGTCTGCAGAGAAAAGAAAACAGTATTGGGCATCTGCGTTTGAGGCACACGGTCAGTTTCTCAATCTGTAAGTGTGTTTACCGTTGTTGAGGTTGAAGAGGAAGCTGCACATGTATTTATCGTAGACCTTGCCTCTGCGGTCTGCTTCGTCCTGAGAGATAATCTGCAAATACATTTTCCCACAACATTTAAATACTTCTCGCAGATCCAAGAGGTATACAAAAAAGTGGATGTTTTCTTTCAAAAAGGTGTGCATGGCATTGCAGCAGAAATACTTTTGTACACACAGACATTTGTCCTACCTCTCCACAGTATTCGGAGATGAACTCGTTCTTCTGGACCGGCTCTTTGATGAAGATGCCCCACCCGGCCACATCTGAGGGGGCCAGCAGCAGATGCTGAGAGACAGAGGAACATCACAAAATACAAAAAACTGGTTTTTAAAAGGTTTATTATTTCCTATCATAACAGCTTCAGTCCGATGTCTGAAACGTCTACTCTACATCTACAACAGGTGGTAAGAGCTTTTAGGTCGTAGAAAGTCTATGCAAAGGTTTTTATTTTCTAGGAAGGTTTAATACAACATTGAAACGGGGTCTTTTTGGAAAAATCTGGAGACAAAAAATACATTTGTTGGAATTCGTTTTTTATCTTGGTTAAAATAATTTTTATAAAAAAAAGGAAAGAAAGATAAACATTATCTGTTTCCAAACTTTTCAACTGCAGAGTACATTTAGGATATTTTGCTACTGAACTCAGATCATCCCATTTTCAAGTGCTAATAAAGGTGTGCAGTGAATAAATAAAGACCTTCTTGGCGCCTCTCTGGATGGAGCAGTTCTTGCAGGACACGTTCTTGCTGTCCCAGTGATCTGCAGCGCCGCACGTCAGGCACAGGTCGGGGTCACACTCTCTCACCGCCAGGTAGCAGGGGCACTGCTTGGTGTTGCACTGAGCTTTGCACCGACAGCCTGGGAAACGGTTCTGACCTGCATACGTAATGAGCAAAGCTTACCATTACCTTTCTGCAGGGATATAGTTGAGGAATGAGAGTGTGTGTGTGTGTGTGTGTGTGTGTGTGTGTGTGTGTGTGTGTGTGTGTGTGTGTGTGTGTGTGTTTGTTTACACTCAGAGCTGCACTGGCAGAACTTCTCGCAGAAGTTTTGAGCGGTGACGCAGGGACAGGAGGAGTCGCAGGGCTGCCGCGGGTGGTCACATGGCTGGTAGTTATACACGTGATTGGATGAGCCATCTGTAGAGAGATGCAGAGGTCAAATATTGTACTACAACACATCAACATCAGAGATTCATCTAGGCTTAACACACTCATTTATCCATTTCTTTCACAGTGATCTTCTTAAAATCATTTCACATGTACTGTATACATTTAGAAATGTGTCATTCATTTCAGAATGAGATATTCTTATTGAATCTGATACAACTGGATACTATTGATTCTATATACGTTAGTATTATGTTTATGTTATTCACACTTTTAATCCAAACCTGTGAAAGAACCAATAGTTAATAACATGTTTGGGTTCTTTTCTAGATGGAAACTCTTCCCATTTTCCTTTCGTAATGTGCTGCAGTGACCTCTGACCTTTCTTCAGCTGGATCTTCCTGCAGTGAGTGGCCCAAAGTCTGTGTTTCCTCTTCTTCTTCCGCGGGGGCGTGTCCTCGTCTTCAGCAGGAGCGCGTGCAATGATGCTCGATTCCTTGACCCTGAACTCATAAACCTGCAGGAACAAAGGAAGGAGAACACAAGTTCATCAGGAACTTTCCCCTACAAACTCAAGTTCAAAGATAAAACGAGGTCAGTTTGTCAGGTGACAAAAGTATTTTCTTTCTGATCATTTCCCCCTGGCTGTGAGTAAATGGTAAACTAGACGTCAGCGGGGGCTCACCTGTCTGCAGGTCTTCGTGCCGATGAGCCGTGCAATGGCGCAGAAGTTGTCGTAGTAAGTCCCGATGAGAACCCTAAAGAGAGAAGCTTCTGCTCCACTCCAGTCCACAGCTTCAGCCTCCACACTCAGCTTCATCTTCACTGGAGTCTGACACCGTGAGTTACCCTCTACACACACACACGAGAAGCAAAAAGAGCTTATCCACGTCCATGGGGCACAAAGAACCTTCCAAGACACTAAGAAACTAAACCAGGGACTACGTCAGGCCTATTCAACTGGCGGCCCGCGGGCCAGATGCGGCCCAGAACCAACTCCCGAGTGGCCCAGCCTCCCGTAGCCAAATTCCTACACTAGTACAGACCATGAACGCAACACTCCGCGTTGCATACAAACCACCAAACCACAACGCAGCACGTTTTTTGAAAGTGCATCNTTTTTTGGTTCGGTAAGATCTGAGTAGTTTAGGACCTGACCTAAAGGTTCTTCGAGATTTTCTAAGAAATATTGTGTCAAAGTCTAAACAACTTTGGAATTAAGATAAACACTTTTAATTTTTTTTCCTCTAAAGTTACGGAAAAAATTTTTTCGAGCGAAAAACAATGGACCCCGGAGGTTAAAATATTGCGGCACGCATCCTAAGTGCACCCCTTCCAACGAATGCATTCATCTTTTAGGTTTTTTATCCATGTCTTTACAACGTCTTTTTACAAAACTCTAAGTGCGTTTGTAACGGCATGGCACTCCGTTCACGCTTGTCGTGAAGGATGTGGGCCGAAAAGGGAAATATTTAGTGTTAGCTGAACTTTTTAACGCCACCGTCGAAAACGCCCGAAGGTGGCATTGCGGTATAAACGGATATGTATCAGTTAGGACCTGGTGCCTCATTTATAAAGCGATATACGGTAAAAAAAAAAAGGCGTACGCCAGTTTCTACGCAATGTTTGCGATTTATAAAATACTAACTTCACGGGAAAACGTGCGATCCTCCACGCAAACTCTAACCCAGGCCTATTCAACTGGCGGCCCGCGGGCCAGATGCGGCCCAGAACCAACTCCCGAGTGGCCCAGCCTCCCGTAGCCAAATTCCTACACTAGTACAGACCATGAACGCAACACTCCGCGTTGCATACAAACCACCAAACCACAACGCAGCACGTTTTTAGAAAGTGCATCTCGTGGTGCTAGTAACGGTGGTCATATGATAGCAACTCTAAAACATGTCTCTCTCAACTCTGAAGCGTAAACAGAGACAAAACGGTCATTTATCTTGTGGAGCAGATCCAAGTCAAGCTGGACCTTTTCGCGACCGACTTGAGCAAGGGTCGGATACTGCATTTTCCGACGCTCCCCAAACACATCACATCTCCGGCACAAATCAAGGATGTGATGACAGATTTCATTGCGAGGTTGAAAGAGAACTTTGCCGGTCGATTGGATGGACTTGCTCTGCCCACAGAGGTGATGGGCTTTGCCAGAGACCCCTTCACTGTTGCAATAGAGGGGGACGTATCAACCAGAGCAAAGGAAGTGGTCCCCTGCATCGACAAGGGGAAATATACACTGGAACTTATTGACATGCAGCGCACTAACGCTAGTAGTTGAGTTGAGCGGTGGTGTTTTAAGGAGCTGTTATTTTTCGGTAGTTTTACATTGTATTTCACCATTTGTAATCATGGTGCAGTATTGTGTTTGTGCAGGTTGCACAAATACCAGCCTAAACTAGCATTGGGATCCATGTTTATTAATACGTTACACCGGCCGCTCTCCCCCTTGTCTGCCCCATGTTAAGTCACGTGCCGAGGCTTTTTTATGCGGAAGTGAAAATTTCTTACAAAAACGACGCCAGATGTCACTGTATATTTTTTTGAAAATCTAGTGTATTCATCATTTTCCTACACATTTATTCACAGGTGTCTTTAACCTGGAAGTTGCTCTTTAATGACAGCTTAATGTTACGAGTGAGTACCTGAGCTGCTGGTGTTTTCATCCTTCTTGTCATCGTCGTCTTTATCATTTTCTCCCCCGTTCTCTTGCTCCATTTCCTGCTCGTTGTCATGATCGTTGTCCTGTTCGTTGTCCTGTTCGTTGTCCTGTTCGTTGTCTCGCTCGTCTTCCTTGCTGCCCTCCCGGTCGCTGTCTGTGTCTTTGGTTTCCGAGAAGACGGAGGGGGTGCTGGGCCGGCCGTTTGGCAGTCGTCCGCGGCGACGACCCACGGAGCGTTTGGAGGGCGTCTTGACCTGATCTGAAACCACTCCGGCCGGGTACTCCCTCACCAACCCATCCTGAGAGATCACAGCAGACATAATATTTCATCAGGTAATACTTTAGTTTCAAATATCAAATGTATTCAGTTCAGAGCGAGGTTAAGAAAGCGTTTGAAATATTCCCAAATAAATCCATGTTATTTTGTTCTGGGATAAGACTCTTACTATGAATGCAGTTACATACCTCACCATATTACAAAGATGGATGAAGATAGTAAAAAGTGAAATTATAGTATGTTCTAAAAAGTAATAAAGTATAGTATAATATTTCTATAAATAAGTGAAAAAAGGTAATTAATAAAGTAGTTTTATATTATGTTATTGAAAGAGTTACACATGGTTGGAATGAAGTACCTCTGATATTTTAGCATGGTTTGAAAAAGGGATTTTGCCTAAGAGATGTGCTAAGAGCGACTCACCTGTACCAGGTACATGTAGCAGTCCATGACGCAGGGCTTACTATCCACCAGGTTCTCCAGGTTCTTGCGCTTATACGTGTTTGGAGTTGCATGGAAAGCTAAAGGACATAGAAAAAAACGGAATAGATAATAATTTGGCTTAAAACAATCCAGGTTATTGTATCAATGCATCATTATACCTTATATTTAAAGTCATTGTCATTCAAATGGCTCAATCGCTCCATGTTATTTCAGAGGAGAGTGTGTGTGTGTGTGTGTGTGTGTGTGTGTGTGTGTGTGTGTGTGTGTGTGCGTGTGCGCGTGCGTGTACTGACGGTGGAGGAAGCAGTCGTATTTGAAGCAGCGTCTGCAGAACAGCGTGTGGAAGGAGTGAAGACTCTGCTCGCGCTGCACAGAGCGAGCGTTGGGACCGTCGATGTTAGGCGTGCACTCAGGAGGCAACGCTCCGGGCAGCTGTTGCTCCGTCAGCTCCTTGTACCTGACGCACACACACACAGAAATCAAAGCTGCAAGCTGACTGAGAAACATTCTTCCAAAGAGGAATCGTTGTATATTCACACTGGATGTTATGTTGCAAATGATGTGTACACTGTGGTTAAATAACTGCAATTTAAACCTACCATTTGCTACTTCATTTTTTTTTTTTTTTAATAGATTAATTTACACATAATGCTGACTCAGACAGACAAAGCCACTCACTTCTCTTTGAGCTCCTCAGTGGAGCCTTTGTCAGGGAACATGGAGGAGATGGCTTCAAAGATCTTGTCAGAGGGAAACTTCTTGCTGCCGTCACTACTGCTTCGGCCTGGAGACGTAACATTTCCATCAGGGAACAAAACTCACAAAACCCTAAATGTCACTTACCAAACGAGTTGTTTCACTATAAAAAAGGCGTTTAAGGAGAAATAAAACATTGTAAGAGTTAAAAAAACAGCACGTCATTTTATTTCTTAACCGTGAAGCAATACATCTGTTGTCAGTAAATAAGCATGTTTACATTCCTTTATTAAGTTATATCCATACATTTCCCTGTTGCAGGACTTCAATTAGATTTAGGTCCGTCTCTTTCTTAAATGTTAATTAAAAGTGCGACAGAATTTATTTACATTTTTAAAGGCTAAAAAAGTATAGTAGAGCTGCACAGATATTAATTGCCTACTAATTGTATTCTATAGACCTTGCAAAACAGATTTGTTTGGGGGAAAAATTAAATCACAGCATAATCAATTTCATGTAACATTGATAATGAGAATTATTAATCAAAAATGGATTAATCCCTACAAAAAGTGAATCATATTGCAGTTGCGATAGCCCCTCAGTGAGGGACTTACTGTCATTGTTGATGAGTCCGTCTTTGCGCGGGTCCTCTGAATGTTCCTTGCTGTCACACAGCTCCACCTTCTCCACCTTCTCCACCTTCTCTACCTTCTCCACCTTCTCCACCTTGAAGTCCTGCTGCTCCTCCTCCTCATCGTCCTCGTTGTCACTGTACTGCGAGAGAGCGCTGACCAACTCCACGAATATCTCATCGTTGATGAAGCCGCACTCTGCCAAACACAACAATGTATTTTCAGCAGGGAAGTATGCGTTTGGATGTCATAGGGAAAAGTCAAACTACTACTATTTGCACCGCAGGCATTTTGAGGTTAACAGATTTTTCACATGCTCTTATAGATTTAGAAAGCAGAGTTTAGTTGTCAGCTTTAAATATCTTCAATCTTTTACTTCCAGAAGCCTTTGTGTATATATTTAAAGCTAAATCGTTAACTTTGTCCAACTGCTTGTTCTAAGCTGGATGTCTACTTCTGTGTGTGTTAAAAAGCTATTTTGTTCCTTAAACCGTCAATAAAATGTTCCCACAGTAACATTTAGTGCAGCAGCATGCATTGTTCACGCCCCCTTGCCCTCACCTCTGTCTCCGTGGACTTTGCCGTCGTAGTTCTTGATGAGTTCTTCTATGAAAGTCCCGTCCTGGTCCAGGATCTCGTCTCCCATGTAGGGGATGTTATGGAGCACCGTCTCATCCTCTACCTGAAGAAAACAAACATGTCACACACACCAGGGATTCACATACTTTGACCAGGAACAAGTGAAGAGTGACCCAAAATGAAATGAGTCAGGTAATGGGTTATCTTTTCATTTATTCTAGTATCATCTTTTATTTAATGCACTATAGAAAAGCAAATTAGAAAAGTTTTTCATTTTTTTTACTTTTTTATTTTATGAGAATATATAGGCCTTAAGCTTTAATATTTGTTGTGTTTGAGTCATCGCAGAATATTACGTAATATTCATTCTTATTTCTTTGCTTCATTTATTTGAAAAAACTGACTTTTCAATAAAACCTAAATCTACATGCCTTGATGGTGTCAATCTTTATATAGCCTTCCTACCAATTATTTTCAAGCTCAATAATAAAACACATAATATTTGACCAAGGGAACCCTGACACACACAGACAGCTGACCAATCACTGCGGTCATGTTTCACTTCTACAACTAGGCACAAAACTTCCATAAAGAACATTTTCCACTACATGCAGACCATGAAGTTCTGCTGCAGGGGGGACCAGGAGTACATCACGGGGACTGAGGCCACGGCGTTGAGGGTCTTCAGGGGGATGACCTGCCGAGGGAACTCCGAGAAGCCGCTGTCCACCGTGCACTGCACAGAGAATCAGAGAGAAGATTTACACCTCAAACCTTCAGAGGCGTTAGGTTCATTCCACCGTTTGTGGATAAACCTTTTGTCTACTAGAGTACTGAGGATTATGTGAATCCACAGACCTCCCGGGTGCCTCTCAAAGAGCCAACGGACGTCATGATGTGCACTGGTTGGATTCGCCTGGTCTCCCACTCCTGATTCAAAACTTTAGTGCGATCTATGATTTTCTGACGGTTGGTGTTGAACATGCTCTGGAATAGGTAAAAGACATTCAAATTAACTGAATTGAAGAGAAAAAGTGTCAGCCACCTGCTAACATATGCCATCATTTCATGCAACATTTCACAGTAAAAACAGTGACTTCATCTCCATGGCTCTACATTGGATATTGAACTAGTTGACTATATTGCTGAAGTCCCTGAAAATGTGCAGTGTGTGAAGGTGGGAGTGTGTGTGGACGAACCTTGACCTCGTCGGCTCGTCGGAAGCGCTTGAGCTGCCGCAGCCTCATGTACTCTGACTTCACTCTTCTCTTCCAGCATGCCGGGCCTTTCTCCGAGCGCTTCCCTGTCAGCACCATCTTTGACCTGCAGTGCGAGTGCAAGGAAGATTCAAGTTTCTGTTTTTCACACATCGCTTTTACAAGAAACATGAAAATGCTTGTCTTATGTACAAATATGGAACACCATCCCAGCAACCATTAAGGAAAAGCCACATACACTTTATTTACAACTTATTTAAGCCATAGGTCAATTAACCCATAAGAATCCAGACCCATTTCTACTTTTGGGGAAATTAAGGGGAACATCATTTAGACTAAATAGACCACCTTGAACACATTTCTGACAAGTAACCCCCCCTAGGGTCAAATATCTGAAATGTGACATATGTCACATTGGGCTTTAATGGTAAAATAACCCTTATTTATACATAACTTAATTAATGAGGGTGATTTTTGGTTCAATTAGTTTGAACATTCTTGAATTGTAGAATCAAAAGATTATATTAACTAAATATAATTGAATCAGCTAAATTTAACTGAGCAGATCATAATAATATTTCCTAATTGTCTAATGTAATCTTTGGGTTTACTGTGACGTTTTTTAGGGCTAAAGTCCCGCTGTGAAACAGGCACAGCGATGTTTGTCTCATTTGTTTCAAGAAATGTGTCCACAATAGGTGAATGTAATAAAGGACATGTTATGTACGAGCATTTTAAATTCTTAAATGCTTGAATTTTACCTTAGCAACAACAACAAAAAGCCCATTTAAAATGTAGCTAGTTTTCTGTCACAATGTTTAGGTCTGGCACATGGACATCTTGGACATGTTTTATGGAACAAAATACATGTCCTGGACCAGGACCCATCCAAGACTCGTTCGTGTGTGTCACTTAGGAGATTCAGAGATCAAAAAAGGCTAAAGCTGTATAAGGAACTTTCCAGAACGTTTAAAGTCAGTGAACCCGTGGTCCTTATGGGTTAAAACGGAATTGCAACATGTCAGCAATAAAATAAAATACAATAAATGCACTATACCGTCTGTGTCCCTGTCCTATCTTTTTGATATGTAATATGTATGTTTTTAATTATCGATGTTTATTTAACTGCATGTCCGTATAGTGAGCCTCTATGTTGTATGGATTATTAATAAACTGTTAATTTTCCTTCAATAAACTAATTCAGATTTAGTGTAATACCTGTTCTGTATTGTTAGGCCTCTGTTGCTGTTTTTAATAGTTGTTTATTAAGTTTTCCAGTTTCTAAGTATCTATACATGATTTTAAGGTGACTGATAACATCTGTACGGGATTACCTTATCGCAAAAAAGCCTATTATAGCAATTTATTATTGATGTGCATTTTGTGTTCAGTCCTTATAGATCGGTATACTATTTGTGGGCTAACACCATGAGGATAACCGAACATCATGACACTGCTTTTGATTACTCCAGTCCACAGCCCGTCGCTACACAGCCATAGATATTTATCCAGTTTACACAAGCACAATATCCTGAACTTATCAAGTGGAAGCCAGCATTTCCCTAGTTGTTAAATACGACAACAACACCGAAATCAAGAGCTATTAGATGAACAAATAAATACTCCTAGTTTTAAATGTTAATAAAAAAGGGGATAGAGACGTTATTCAAGAGAAAATATAACGGTATATAAGAGTACTGAGGATGATTGGACACATATAGTTATTTAGCAAAGAAAACCGAAAACCGTTCATTAGAAAAGTTGGCTGAATCTTTTAAATTTTTGTTCTATTGTGTGTTTAGTTAGTTTATTTGTTTATAGTGTCCCTTGGAAATCCCCAATTGATCAGGACTTCACAAAAAAAAGTAAAATGGAGAGCAGTTTAACCAACATTATAATTTCCAGCTGTTGTCCTCGGCCATTAAGTTAGACTTATCCTTACAAATTACGTTTTCCATGAAATGTGAGGCTTTCTATGACTGTTTTACTACTCAGAGACTCGTACTGTCCATGAATTTCCTTTTGTAAAATTGAAAGAAAACTGGGCTGTGATTCAGATAATGTGGAAATCCCTCAAATTAAAATAAAAGCAGCTTGCACCAGTTCTTCTTCATGGGGCACAATACAGGTGACAGGTTTTCCTCTAGCCTTCTGCGTTCAATTACAAAGCGACCTGTCTAGGTGTGAGCCAACAAGATCTATTGAGATCAAGCTCTTTCATTTAGTGTCATGAACATGCTGGTAAGAGATTGATGTCAGATTGTAATAGATATGGCAAACTGAACTGGACGAACACATTTGCTACCAACCAACAAATTACTGTCTATGTCTAGTCTTACCCTCACTGAATACAAACGTGTGGACCGAAGAGAACAATCCCAGATACCTAGCAGCCCCCATAAACAAATGGCCAAAATCAGGATATTTTTCTTGTAACCGGATTATGAAATAAGGAATTCTCATTTTGCTGAATAGGAATTAAAATAAGGACCTTCACTTGTGACAAGGAGTACTTTTAGACTTCATATGTTTACTTTAGTAGCATTTTTAATAATCGTTACCCATCTTGATACAAAAAATAAAAAAAATAATGATATAACCTAATATGACCAAAATCACATTTGTATCAAGGAGTTTTACAAACGTACAAGAAAAAACATATATTTTTGATACTATTGGTATTTTTTACATTGTATCATTTTTGACTGTGATGCTAGGGCTACTTTTGGGACAATATACATGTTTTACTTTTAACTGAATCAGGACTTCGTACTTGCGGAGTGAGTATTTCCTATAGACTTTAAGATTTCACTTTTACCTTTGTAGCCTTTTTGAATTCATTGACTATGTGATGAGGGAGGATGTTGCTATGTTTCTACTTTTACTTAAGACGGATTGAAATAGATTGTTTGTCTGTCCTATGTAATTTGGAGACGATGGTGTTTTCTAAGTTACTTTAGCAGCTTCATAGTCAGGCTTTACCGATGGAAATTCGTCAGTCATTGGGATTTTACACCATAGTTAAACATAGTTATGCGAAGTAACTTCCAATCTACATAAGGCCNTAGACGCATGAACCGAGTAGCCCCACAAATGTCCTCCAGAGCCTTGTTGGCATTTTTCTACAGTAACGCTAATGGAAGCAAATTGGTATAACCACTGGGCACTCAAATGCACTAAACAGCCTGTTATATAAGACCTATAGCAGGGATCACCAACTACATTTGTCCAAGGGCCAAAATGTATCCAATAGACACTATTGCGGGCCAGCGATTTTTATATAGCCCAGAATTTTGAAGTTGTTGACTGAATACATGCTCTGAAAGTAATCAGAATACAGTTACAGTTACGTGTCCTAAAAAAGTAACATATTCAGATTACTTTTAGAATACTTTATTTTTCCATAACAGATGGGTATGTTTTGTTGAACAGGAGACACTTATTTTACTGTTTTAATGGCTTATCAAGAACTCAAACACAACATCTTGGTGTCATTCTGGACAGTCTCTCATCTGCACCCCACATAAAAAACATCACCCGGACTGCATTCTTTGCACTGTCTTAAAACCTTTCCTTGGAATATGTTATGAATTGTAAGGTGTCCTTGGGTGCTTTGAAAGGCGCCCCTAAATAGAATGGATTATCATTACTATCTGAAACGATGTAATAACTTTTTTCAGTCACTTGCCCCATGCATTCAGCAGCAGCAGGCCATTCACTTTGATTTGATCCCGTTATGAAATGTCATCATTTCGACAATAAATAAATGCTACATAAACGTTATCTTGCCCATTTTATCTAACCATCTCCGTTTCTAACTTTCAATATATTTTAAAAGAGATCTCTCTCTCTCATCTGCGTGCGGGGGCGGGGCCTCCAAGACACGCTGCATCTCTCTCTTGCTCACAAACATGCTGCACGCTGTGCAGTGTGCACACAGTTCTGCCGGTAATGAATATTACATTTTGTGAGGAAATCTTTCCACCAATAATTCCAATAAGTATTCCAAAACGTATTCACTTCAGGTTTATGAAAGTAACTGTAATCAGATTACTCGTTTTTCAAATGTAACGCCAGCTGAATACAGTTAGCCTACTTGATTTTTGTATAAAACTTTAGGTCATAGCTATGGATTATTAAAACATCGATCTTTGCTATCCAAATCTCTAGGTGTGCAAAAACAGATTACGGGAATCCGAATGGGTTTTATTACCAAGTAGGGTTACACATACGAGGAATTTGCTTTGGTATATGTTGTGAAAGACACACACAAATATAATGAGGTTATTTTTAAAGTTAGTTTGTGAAATGATATTAATAATAATATTCGGTTTCGGTCATAGATGTATCTGTACCGTGGGAGTACAAAAATCTAAACGGTATAACTAAATAGATGGTTGACTAAAGTGCATTGCCTCATAAACAGTGTTTATGAATATAGACCAACCCTTCTTCGAAATGTATTCATACTCATGATTGAATTTTAACTATAGTTTCAGCATTGAAGACAGGTATCTGTATTTCAGTGGTGTAAAGTAACTAAGTACTGTACTTAATATATGGAAGTAATTGTACAGTACTTGAGTGGTTCACATGATGCTAATTTAGACTTTTACTCCACTACATCTTATCCACCATTATATATTTGATAGGGTCACTGGTATTTTGATTCCTTTCAGCTTGTATTAGCTGGCTGAAATGATCTACCTTAGCTCTATTGCATATCCTCAGTAGTTGCCTACCTCAGGTGTCTAATAACAGCTCTATGCCTCCACGCACACCTGTGTGTTTACCTTTTATGTCTTCAGAGTATTCCATCGGTGCTATCCATTCGTAGTCATACATCCGTTTGCTGCCAGAGGGGAGCATACTGAACAGGTCGTCCGCGGCGGACTCTGGGTCTCCGGTCCCGGGCCCGGAGCCAGCCATGCCGCTGTCCGGCCACAGGTGGAGGGAGTGCGGGATCGGATCTTGGCGAGCCTCCCTGTCGCTGCTGGCTTGGCTGCTCTGGTCTCCGTCCATGTCGGCACACCCCCTCGAGTTCTTGTCTTTCATGAGATAGTCGCAGATAGCATCTATATTCTCCTTCTTCACCCCGGGCAGGAGGGCTTTGGCTCT